TGGCCACAGGGAGAAGATGGAGTGAATGGAGGGAAGCGAGAGAGTCGAAGGCGAGAAAGGCGACAGGAAGGAAAGAGGCTCAAGAGCCAAGCGCCGGCCGGAGCGATCTGGAGCGAGGCGAGGATGCAATTTCCAGGGAAAGTGAAGGAGGTCGCGAGACAGACGGATCGACTGGCAGACGAGAGGAAAGAGAGAAAGAAGATCCTCGGGTGGGCAGAAAGCCAAGCCATTCGGGGCGGTGTGGAGTTCCTTAGTCTACGGAGTATCTACTACTCTCTCTACCTTCCATACCTATACTCCAGTCCTCTCGATGATCATCCTCTCGAAACAGCGGTCTCTTCTCAGTTCTCGAACAAAAGTACTCTCCTGCCTCCCAAATTCTAATATTATATTAACCTCATCCATCCACTCGACTCCGTCCGGCTCACAATATCCGTGAGATACATCACACCCACCACAGCGCTTTGACAATGGCGTCGGACCCGAGGTCAACCGACAGATTCAGATCCACCGACGAGGTGTAGTCCTGTAGGAGTGTACTCCGTACTCCGTGGCAATGGAGAGGCAACCCCTAGGAGTTGCCTCGATTGACTTTGCAGATCTCCCGTCGGTTTCTCCCTGCCGGCTCCGACTCAGGGGCGCATTGCATTGATTATTCGGGACTGCATATCCTTGGCTTGGTTGAGAATGGTTTGGAGCAGGTCCAGAAGATCGCTATACGGGGTACTAACTATACTAGTTAAGACTGCTCCGTACGGAGTACTCCGTCAGTACTTCTGCCCCCAGTCCTAAGGCTACACCTCTAGTGGCCGGGGATGGATCTACATGCATACATACACATACATTCATGCTTCGATCTGCTTGATTTGCTTAACCGAACTTAGTTATTCGCAATAGTCAAGAGTTAAAAAGCCATGGTCGGGCTGGAGCTTATCCTCCGGCGTCAGCCTCTGGTCTACCATGACAGGCGGAGAACTACCGACAGGAGTACATCCCTTGCCTACGGAATACTATCAGCCTATCTTTGACATAGGTCTGTCAGTGTCACTATAGTTAGCTATACTTACGTTGTACATTCTGTCATCCACACCTTTGTCCATAGGGTCAACTGACAAGTATGAACTAACACGAGAAGGAGAACGATGGAACTAGGAACCCGACAGCCAGGGATAGGGTAACTATGCTTAACTATGTACAATCTCTACTCCATAGTTGCGCGTTATACCCATAGCTTAGTCTTAATCAACAACACCTTAACACAACATACTTCCCATAACCCGTACCTAACAAGCTAACTACCTTACACTTCCTAGCCAACTAACTGTACGATACTTTGTCCACAAGGCAACCCTGAACCTAGCCCCTAATCGAAGAAGTGGATAGAAACTAAGGCAATACCTACTATGTACGGAGTATGGAGTACCTACGATCGGGTGATCTACCTATCTACTTACATACCTACCTCAGATCCACCTAATCCAGCCCAGCTCAACCATGCATTCAACCATTACTCAATTTCAGCCAGCCACGGGTTTTTCCACGGGGAGGACGAGATAGTTACCCAGTACGGCGTAACTACGTAAGCCTAACTGAGTACTCCGTAACTATATCCAATATCTAACTTTGCCTTCCTATAACTATGGATATTTAATTAGAGAGTGACTAACTATAGTAGGTTATCCTAGTTACTATAACAAGATCCTGCTCCATGGGCTAGCTATACTATACATACATTCCTCGTAGAAGGTAGATAGCTAGGAGCTAGTAGATATGTTTTAAATAACTACACTACACCGTAGTTAGACATGATTAACTATAGACAGTAGAAGGTATGTATAGTCTACCCAGCCCTAATTAAAACATTCCATAAATTCTACTCCGTAATTACCTACCTACCTATCAAAACCAGTCCTCTCCCTCCTAGATAGCTAGCTAATTATCTAGGTAGGGAGGTATCGTCCTCCTATTTCCGCACACACACACACACACACACACACACACACACACCCTCCTACCCTCCCACCATCCAACCACCATTCCCAACTCCCAAGAACCCAGTCCATATTATCCACAATAAGTAGAGAATTAACCCAACACCCCTACCTACCACACAAACATAACCCACGGTAATCCCACCAAACCCAACCCAACTCAACCCACCCCAGTCCAGTCCAGTCCAGTCCAACCCAACCCAACCCAGCAAACAAACCCAAACCAAACCCAAACCCCAGTACTCCATACAGAGTACTCCATACCATGCACAGAATACCAATAGCACGGAACCCGCCAGCCACCTCTCATTTTTCCCATCATGGGACACCGGAAACAGATTCCGACGAAGGTACGAATAACCGGCGGACCGCGATACGGGAGAGAGAGAGACCTCCGCCACGATGATCAGTCATATTCATATTCATATTTGGTGCTAAATATTGCATCTGTTGACTCCATCCGATTCCCTAGGTACATACAGTACATACATACATACATCGTCTGGTCGGCGCTGACACATCATGTTTTGGAAATGGTTAGGAGTTAGGCAGGTGGGGACGGAGGTCCATTTTATTTTTCTTTTTATTCATCATTCTTATGATTATTTTGGAGGGTTTGGCGTTTAAATGATATTTCAATTTCAATTTCAAATTTTGAGTTTTGACCTTTTCCCTCTCCATTATTACTATTTTCTTTCTCTTTCTTTCATTGCTTTTTTTTACTTCCCCTCCTGAAAAGCAACCCCAATCTCCTAACCGCGCCTCCGAGGGCAGACAAAAAACCATCCCTGCAAAAATCGAACAATACGAGGGGTTTATGATTCGCCCCGCGCTAACGGCGGACAAGATATTTCACCAGAAACCACCTACCGTAGTTACCTACTGTACCTAGTGTACCTGCCAACCTACAGTACAAGTCAACCCGGGGCTTGGAATGACCGCCCCCCCATCTGCACTCTGCAGGCAGCCATTCCACCCATTCGCTGGACGATCAGCGGCATGGAAACCCTGTTCGGCTACTGCAACCAACGGATTTCCTGCGTGGAACAGGCGGAAAGACATCAATTATCGGGCTGTGATTCATCATCTGGAGAAAACGCACCGGGTGGAGTCACAACGGAGAATGGAGCGTCAATGTCCACGGACCCAAACCACCGCGTCTGTAGGCGCAATAAAATTCGTAATTTCTCCGGATGCTCCGCGGTATGGGAAGGGAGGTCGGTCACTGGAGGGTTCGATCAGTGTGGCGAGGTTTCAGGGTAATGAAGTAGGAAATTGCTGCGAGAGGGAAAATCAAATAAATTAAAAAATCCAAATAAAAGAAGGAAAAAAAGGGAAAAGACAGCTGTGGCAATCAACTTCACCTAGATATCCCAACCAATACACAAGTTCAAGCTCAGTCAAGCCCCTTGGGTCGAGAGTCTAGACTTTACGAGTCAGTGATCGGCTCTTGACGTTCGGCCATGTGGATAACAGCTGCAATAAGTTGTGTTGTTCGTTCATCAGTTAATAAAATAGAACCGAGTATGAAGTTGGCACTAGCTCCCCAAACCATACCTGTCCGCAACCGTTTCTCGACCTCACCTGCAGCTTGTCCCTGTAGCCGCGATTTTTTTGATTCGCACATCCCCGTCCTGGGCTGGCCGGTTTTGGCAACCAGACGGACTGGACCACCTACGTCAACTGCACTTTAGCCATTACATACATGCTTTTCTGCACTGGCTGTGGGTGTCAGCTGGGACACGTATAGGCGGGTGGATTATTGTCTGTCTCCTTTCTGTCAGCAAAAGGCGCCGATTTCTCTGTTCCGGAATTGGTTGGTGTTAGCTGTATTCGGAAGCTGGGAGCATTATCCCCATATGGTTGCGAAAAGGTGCATGACATCTATCAATGCCTGACACCCAATGTATCAGGCAAGGAGTCCACGGAAGAGTATCGGGAGCGGGAGAAATTGTGGAAAGATCGAGAAGAGGTAACAAAACCCAGAGAAGGAAATGGGACTCACAGGCCGAGATGTACCGTGATGGTGGATAGTCTACCCCACAATCCATACTGATCAGTTCCAAACTTCACCTAATCGCGGTTCTCCTTTTGAAATTCCCATGCACTTGCACCATATCACATGCCAGGTTGCTTAAATGAGCACTCTTGAGGGCCTGTAGATGGTCGTTTGAGGCGCAACGAGCTATTCTGAGAACAGCATGGGCCACCAAGTTGGTGAAGGTGCAGATAAAACAATAGGCATTGACGGTTTGAAACGTAAAAGAAACTACACACTCGCAAGCATGTATCATGCAGGTGTGATCCCAATACGACCAGATCCTGCGTTTCCGTTGTCGAGGCAGCTGATCATTGGAGGCGATAATGATGCAGAAGGGCATTAGTTTGTACGCCCAATGCATCCGAGCGGATGGGGAGTCCCGTCAAATGTTGTGCCACATAGGGCCACGCACATTAGTGACACAGCTTTGGGCTGATCCATTTTTTTTTTCTTGTCTACCGTTCATTACGGTGTAGACTCGGCTCCAGGCTAGTTGCTGTCTCCCCGATTATTTTCTTTTGTTTTTCTTTTCTGGCCTGTTCTCCACTTTGAGATTTCCCCCTTCAGGTGTGTCGGGATCACTCTCTCGGCTTCGAAGGGTTTGACGCATATAAAGTGGGTTGGGGTGTCTCGAAAGGAAAAGGAGAGCTTTGAACTTAGGAAGTCCCTGTAACCTTATTATTTGTGGATCCAAACATTGGCTGCTCACTTTCTCCTGCATCTTGAATAATGCTGCCTCTCGTGCCCTGTACTTAAGGAAGTTTGCTGAAGCGTAGGTTCACTTTCTTCCGTACCTGATTGGCACCAGGAGAATTAAAAGTTAAAAGAGTACAGCCGATCCCTCAGTTTCCCCCTTGGTCTTGGAACAGAGGCCAGTGCAACCACATTCCATGGTACTGTAACCACAGGCACAGATTTGTTGCAGACACTCACTGACTCTTGCCTTTCAGTCACACACACCTATATCGATGGACGCGCCGCTGGACGGACAGAATTCCATGCACTTTGCCCTCATCTACCTCGATGAGAGTGGCAAACTCCGCTTCGAAGCCTCACCTTCTATCGCAAGCAACTGTCAAACAATCTTGTCCCCAAACGTAACCGATTCGTTCCTGCGAGCTGTGGCCCTTTCGAGCAAGGGTGGTTCACCGAAGCTTATAGGTATGTGTTGTTATTCTCCTGCATAGGGCTAAGGGATTAACGAGGAACAACCAGGCTCTCCAGGGTCGCAGTCAGATGATGCAAGAGGGAAGAGCCCGCTGTCGCCACAGTCACCAAACCAAGACTCGAGTCGCGGGTCATCGATGTGAGTGTTGATTCGTGCTTGGTATACTCATCAGGATCTGACCAGGCATAGGTTTCACGATGGCAACCCACCCAAAAGAAAGCGGGTTTCTCACGAATGTGTCGTGCCTATGAGCATTAATTGCCACCAGAAAACCATGCTTCCTGTACGGAATCACGCTCTGTTACGGCGGTACTATGAAAAAGCATTCGAGAGCCTGCAGCAGATCAATTGCCGGATCCTCGCCAAAGCATACATCAAGCTTGTGGAGCCTCGCAAGCAGGTCAACTTTCCTTACAATGGCCGCAAGATCATCGCCGGGGCGTCTCAGCAGTTCGATCCCGAGTTGACGAAGCCAGCATGGTGGCCATCAGGGGTCACTCATCGTGAGCCTGATCATCTTCTCAAACCAGGTAGGTCCCAAATCGTCCCAGGTCGTGAATAATACTGACCATGGAATAGAGAGAATTCGTCTGCTGGTGCATATTCTATGTGAACTGCGAACCAGCCATGCCATTTGCGTCGAAAGGCTCAAGGAAGCCGACCAATCAATTAGACGTTCGATCTCGCCCCAAGAACGCATGCCGGTCTTGGATGAAATCTATAGCGTGCGAGAGGAGGAGGAAAACTACCTCGATGGCAGGACCGGTAAGTTCTGACACCAAAGCGATCTTCCCACGGACAAATTCTCACATTCCGCAGATGGTCAAGCAGTCGTCTGCGTGTCCCGGGTACACCTACCCGACATGGCCGATGCTCACAGCATGGGCTCGTCCTCGGGCAGCATGCTGAAATCGGACATCAACCCCGTGTACAGGAGAGAAGTTCCTGACATGGAATCTCACACCTCCGTCTTCCCGACCAGCGGTGGCTCCCCGACAAGCGACACTGCAGAGAAACGAAGAAAAGAGAGCAGTAAGCTCAACCACAGCTTGCCGGCCACTTGGGACCACTGCGTTCAGCCCTCACTCCCGCCCCTGACCAACCCCAAGCGAGCCCGCGAGGGCGAGAGCTCATACCCCGTGGACATTTCGAATCCCTCCATGTTCCATCATGACACCCCTACCTCAGTCCCATTGGACAGTCAGACCTTCCCGCTGAGGTATTACAGCGAGCCACACCTCAATCACCACCACAGCCAGTCACAACCGGCCCTTCCCGTGCTAGGACTCTCTGGAACAGAGTTGGGAGGGTGTCCTCAACCATACTATTTTAATTATTAGACATCTCCTTTGTCCACTTTCCTTTGTCACTTGGAAATAGTTTCAGCGATCTCATTTCCTTTGTTCTTTCTTTTGTCCAATTTCTTTTGTTGTTCAGCAGGATCGAAGGCGCGACGGGAGCGTTCATTAACGGCAGTCAGGGAAACACAACACAACACAACACATAATACTCAAGTTTCGGTTCTTCAGGAAAGGAAACTCGAAAATAAAATCATCCACAGGAGTCCGGGATTGCACATATCTGATCATATATCCGGAAGGGAGTAGGGTGTGCCAACAGGGCTATTTATGTTGCTGGGAAATGCGCAGGAGGCGCACAATGACCTAGAGAAAGACCTTACCTAGTCATCTAATATCAAATAATGAGGCGTATCAACAGACATGTGACGAATAAGTTGAATCAATTGACGAGGTAAGGGGGAGTGAGAAGAAAGAAATGCATGAAGCTTGACCGACTGGAGAGGAGGAAGGGAGGATGAGAAGGCGACGGAGGGAAAAGAAGAGAGAAACGAAGGGGGAGAAGGGAGGCTTCCTAATCGGTCCACGTACAGCGGGCAACCCCAAAAAGTGGGAAACCGGCACGCTTCGGTCGATCCTGCGAGGGAGATCTCTCCTACATATGATATCGAGATGCGCTTTCCATGAAGAGTTCAACGGTGGGTTAATAACTATTATTATACATACACATAAACAAAGCTGGCAATATGGAACGGAGAAATTAAAACAGGTTTCTGGTTAATGGCCTGCAGACACGGTCCGCCAGGTCGGTAAATCAGCTATGGAAAGGAAAAGGCCAATTTACAGACACTGTGAGTACCAGTCATTCTGCTTCTTGCAAGTCGTGCCGCTAACGCAGGTGGTAGGACCAGTCCAGTTGTTACCGCCGCACTGCTCCCATTTACCCGCAACGTTCGTCGAGGTGGTTTGAGGCGCAGAGACCGTGCTGGAGCTGGTGGTCGAGGAAGGAACGGGGGCAGTGGTGCTGGTGGGAGCAGAAGACGATGAGGATTCAGACGCGCTACCTCCCAGTCCCTTCAGCAAACCAGCATAGGCAGGCTTCTTGTTCAGGTCCTCATCCCAGGGAAGGGCGGCACCTTGGCCGGGAAAAGTGCTAGGGACCCAGGAGTACTTGTCAGTCCAGTCCCAGATGGTGAATCCAACACACTTGGAGGTCTCGACGCAAGCCTGGACCAGGTTCTGGTAGTCGGTCGACTGCTGGGCCAGCTTGGCGTCGGTGGCGGGGGTCTCCATGCGAACGTCGATTTCGGTGTAGGCCACCTCAACTCCGAGCGCGGTGTAGGTTTTCAAGGTGCTGGCAAGGTCGTTCTTGCCGGGGGTGTTGCCGACGGTGAAGTGACCCTGTAGACCGACTCCGTCAATCTTCACGCCGTACGACTGGATTAGCTTGACGATCTTGAGGGCGCCAGAGGCCTTGTTGCCGGCCCATTCAATGTTGTAATCATTGTAGTAGAGCTTCACGTCGGAGTCGGCGGCGGCAGCGGCGGCAAACGCAATCGGGAGATAAGCTTCACCGATGGTCTTGTAGAAAACGTTTTCGCGGTACGAGCCGTCCTCGTTGAGCGCTGGGAGGAAGTACATTAGAGACGGGTTATAAATCTTGGGATAGTTCGCAAAAATAGGTCTATACCTTCGTTCACAACATCCCAGGCATAGCAGCGACCCTTGTAGTGCTTGACAACGTTGGTAATGTGGTTCTTCAGGGCCGCAGTCAAGGTGGCGTTTGTCCAGGATCCACTGGTGACTATGAGATGTCAGCACTTGCTTCTGCTAAGCTGGGTTCAAGATTCCATACCCCAGTTGGGCAGCTGCTGGTGCCAGACAAGGTTATGGCATCGCAGCACTTGATCGTTGGCCTCAGCCAAGTCAGCAATGACATCGCCTTTGGCAAAGCTGAAGCTGTTCTGAGAAGGTTCGGTCGAGTCCCACTATGCGTCGGGGTTAGTCTCGGGCCATACCCATAGATCTGAAGGAGCTGACATACCTTCATCGAATTTCCAGGCGTGATCTGACCGAAGTCCTTTGTGTTGTTCAATTGAGTCACATAGGGAACATCCGTGAGCTCGGGGTTGTCGGTAGCCGTGCCGAAGTATTTCAGTCCTTTCGCAACGGCAGCCTCGTGAAGGCCAGCGGCGGATGCGCTTATCAAGTCAGCATCTTCTGAACACTAGCAGTGGTAGAGAGAGTTGAGGACGTACAGGGGAAGAGCGCCGACAGCAAGAGCTGCGGTAATAGAAGGAAGGTGAACCATATTGAACGATCTGCTATGATACTCCAAAGATCATCGACCGATTTACCGAATAGTAAAGAAACAAGCACTTGCGACAACCAGGGGATGGCCAAATCTCTTATAAACGCCCCGCTTCTCCTGTGTCAAATTGTCCAGGGAGTCGGAGAAGCAGCCGAGGAAGTGCAGGACCACCAGTTCCATGTCGCTGAGTTTCACCCATTCGGATGAACTCTCGAAAAGAAAGGTCCAATCTCCGGGAAGAGCGCTTCTGGATGTTAGCTCGCCAGTCTAGCCATCGTCCGTGCCCGATCGGTCCTAGATAGTTAGCGACCCCTTGTTCCTCAGAACTAACGGATTTTAGGCTGAACCAAACAGATGGGGCGAGCAGGGAAAGCGGAGATTCTTCATCCGCCAACGGGTGTCTAGTGGGTCGGCAGTTATTGCTGGTTTGGGACTAAAATGAGGCCGCAGACCAGCGCTGGTGATTATTGATTAACCTGCGACACCGGCGGTTACAATGCGTCATGGCCGACCCAGACATTGATCATTTTGATTTCTGTGTGAAAGTGATCGAGGCCATGTCGGTGGGTCCACTGGGTAAGACATGCTATTTACGGGTACGGGTATACTGCGGTTGTTGCTGCCTTCCAGACTGATGGGGATTTCTGTGATTCTGATGCCACGAACAAGCCTCTGCAATCTGCGTTATGCACGATTTATGGTTCCACGGAGGTAATTCCGAAGCCCCGCCTGGACCATGACAGCCAGCAGAGGACTGCTTGCTAGTGTGGATAAAGGATATATGTGGCTTGTGGCCGGATCAGTCACGGATTTTCTGCTCTTTGGGTCCATTTCATTCGTGGTCTATATACAGGAGGCGTTCTTCATATGGGTATGCGGCCCATGCTTCCGGCGGGCTCGATTTGAAAATGGCATCTTAACCAGTATTCAAGGAACCGAAGCCGAGGAGAACGTCTGAAAAGCCCATTGGTGGCCATGAGAGGGGAGAAGATTCCTTAATGTCTGCTGACATTCGTGTGGCGTACTCATGATAAACCGACCAACTTGGGATTGCCTTGTCCGATGGATGCCAGTTGCAGGAAGAGCTACCTTATAATCATAAAAGGCGAGTCGTCCCCTTCTCTTCTGACTAAAGAGGGTTTGCATGTAGGGGAAAGACAATTCAGCTATCCTTGCGTGCCTTCATTTCCGCGATGAATTTGCCAGTCTTGGAAGTGGGAACGACGTAGATTCGAACCAGTTCGTCCACGACTTCCACCTTACCTCCGCTGAGGATCTGCAAAAGCGGAAGCTTTTTCCCGGCCTTGATCAGCCCGCCCGTGACGGTTTCCATGAAACATTCCACTCCGCCAATGGTATACTCCTTTTTGGTATCCCACGGCAAGGGGAAAATGTAATCCAAATGGTCCTCAATGGAGTTGAATTCGGAGAAAGACTTGATGAAATCGGACTGCGCATCCATGTGGTACAGGAACACCGCGGGAAATTCGAGAGTGCTCTCCGGCGAGAGAGGGTCGGGCGTGAGACGGATGCCGACATCCTCCATCTCCGGCGGCTGCTCGGTCTTGCGGGTTCTGATCTGTCTCGCTCGCAAGGCGGTGCTTAGCATCTGGTTTTCCTTGCGCAGTTTTTCGGCCTCGGCCTTCTTTCTGGCCGCGATGCGCTCCAAAGCCGCCTTGCGCTCGGCAACCTTCTTGCCTATCGTCTGAATCGATTTGTTTTCCGGATCGAGAGCGAGTCCACGGTTCACAACATCTTCGGCCTCGGGGATCTTGTCGAGCATGAACAGGGCCATCGAGGAACGATAGAAGGCCTTGACGTTCTTGGGGTTGAGCTTGAGGGTGGAGGCGCAATCGAGCGTTGTAGACCGATAGTTACCTGGGAGTTTGAATCAGCATGGGGGTCTTCTCGAGCAAGGAATGCAAAATCAATAATAGTGATTCCTTACCAAGCTCCAAATTACACAAAGCGCGGTTGATGTACGAAGCCTCTTCGACCTGACGCTTCACCTTCTCCTCCTCCTTCGGATCCTCCGGTTTATCCCACTTGTCTTCCTTGGCCAGCAAGACGGCGATAGCCTTGGTGTAGAATTCCTTTGCATCAATCCATCTCTTCTCCTTGGCCGCCTCGTTTCCTTGCTCCCGATAATTCTGCGCCACTTCGCCGCGCGTACCCTCGTTCTGCATAGCCTGGATGGCATCCAGCATGATATTCTCTCCATCTGCAGTCCAATTGGTACATCAGCTCCCCGCGACCGTGATACCCCAAAAGTGAAAGGGGAGAGGGGAGGTCTCACTCTCATCGCCCGCTTTACTAATATCCGTCATGAACAGCGGGGTCTTGTTCAACATGTCAGCCAACTCGTCTGTCGTATGCGTCCGCACGGAAGCCATGTTCTGCGACATCTTCGGAGCCAGCGGATCCTTCTGCTCCATCTCCTTCAAGCGCTCCTCGTTGATTGGAAAACTGGGCTCATCGTCGGTGACGGGGAGGGGAGCATCGGCCGCGGCGGTTTCGGTCTCGGGGGGCTGCTTGTTGATGTCGATGGACTCATCGAAGTCATCGGGGAGCTCTTCGATCCGCGACATGGTGACGAATATGTGCGGAGAGACGTGTTAGGGTCGTGTTGGAGGGTTGTGATTGCGATGAAATCGATCTGATCTTCGAGAAATCCGCGATAAAGATTGTCAAACAGTGCAAACACGAGGGGTAGGGCTAGCCCTGGCCATTACCCGTTTGGGGAGTCTGTTGATGGTTTGTCATGATTGCCTCCCTGGAAGTGAATTACATCTATCCTCATATTCATATGTTTCAAGGATCCATTGCGTTCTTTATCGAGTTCATGCTCATGTTCTGTTGGGATCGACACAACACGACATGGCGCTGACTTGACAGCCCCGCATTGCGACAATCAAAGAAGAGTATCGACGATAAGGATATCCCAATCCCAGTCTATTGAGTCTCTCTAGACAGGTATATGTCAAAACCCCACGCCAAGTGCAGATCTACATCGATGGCTCTATAATCGGGGCAAAGCCGTACCTCAGGCGTTACTTCCCCGCATTATCGGTCTAATGACCGATATCCGAAGTAGGCTGTATGATTTAGTCCTAAGTATAAGATGGCATCACGTCGCCCCAAGTTTTGCTCTCCACACCACGAACAAACGCGAAGAAAACTGTCAAGATGACCGTAACAACATACAACATACTCATTCTTCCCGGCGATGGCATCGGTCCGGAAATCATGACCGAAGCCACCAAAGTCTTGAACGCGTTCACCTCGCCAGCTCTCCGCTTCAACCTCCGCCAGGAGCTCATCGGCGGATGCAGCATCGATGTACACGGCAAGCCTATTACAGAGGATGTCAAGCATGCCGCACTGTCGTCGGACGCGGTGCTTTTCGCCTCGGTCGGTGGTCCGAAATGGGACCATGCGCGGCGTGGATTAGATGGGCCTGAGGGAGGTCTGCTACAGTTGCGCAAGGCCATGGATATCTATGCGAACTTGCGACCTTGTTCGGCCGATTCTCCGAGTCGCGCCGTGTCTAGGGAGTTTACGCCGTTCCGGGATGAGATCATCGAGGGGGTGGATTTTGTGGTGGTCAGGGAGAATTGCGGAGGGGCGTATTTTGGACGGAAGGTTGAAGATGATGATTACGGTATATAGTCCTTCTACGTGGCTGTCCTGACCTGCTTTGCGCTATGCAGGGCATACATACTAACAATGTCATCTCTCAGCAATGGACGAATGGGGCTACTCGACCCCCGAAATCGAACGCATCGCGCGTCTCTCCGCGGAGGTCGCCCTACGCCACGATCCGCCCTGGCCAGTGATCTCGCTCGACAAGGCCAACGTGCTCGCCTCCTCGCGGCTCTGGCGTCGCGTCGTCGAGAGAACCATCACCACTGAATATCCTCAGGTCAAGCTGGTGCATCAGCTCGCCGACTCGGCGTCTTTGATTCTTGCGACGAACCCGCGCGCCCTGAACGGCGTGCTCCTGGCCGACAATACTTTCGGAGATATGATTTCCGATCAGGCAGGCTCGATCGTCGGCACGTTGGGTGTTTTGCCAAGTGCCAGTCTAGATGGGTTGCCTGGTGGACCGGGAGCTACGAAGAAGACCAATGGGTTGTATGAGCCGACGCATGGGTCTGCGCCGACGTAAGTTTGCTGCTTTTTCTTTGTTTGCAGATTCCAGATAATCTCGCTTCCTTTCTGTTCTTGTCCTTGTCGATGTGTTTGTCCATCTATATTTAGCTCCAGACCCTACCCCTCCATGCAAGTGCCCAAACTAACGCCCACCCCAAACAAACAGCATCGCAGGCCAAAACATCGCCAACCCCGTTGCCATGATCCTCTGCGTGGCGCTCATGTTCCGCTACTCGCTGAACATGGAAGCCGAGGCACGACGGGTGGAAGACGCCGTGCGAACGGTGCTGGATGCAGGTATCCGGACGCCAGATCTGGGAGGCAAGGCGGGGACCAAGGAAGTGGGGGATGCGATCGTGCGGGTGCTGAAAGAGCAGGAGGCTTGATTTGCTGGATGGAATTGAGCATGCGTAGAATGGCTGGGTGTTTGCATGCAAGCGTATGTGGCTGCGTGGTACAGCCACGACTGTTGTTTGATGATCTAGGAGTGGTCTCTCAATGTTCAGAGATTGACTGCAGTATCTTATTTGTTTCGCCTAATGTGGCAGGGCTACTGTCCTGCAGTTGTCACTTTGAAACCATTCCAAACAGGCAGTCAATATCGCATAGACCTTACACTGAAGTCATACCATCGCAAACACAGCATAGCAAATAAAGAATAAAAAAGAATAGACAAAAAAAAAAGCACAAACAATCAAAATGGCATCATATCAAACAAACCTACCCATTCAATCTTTTTCGTCCCACGTTCTATCCATATGTAGAGCACTCCCCTTGCAGTTAATTCTACATTTAACTTACACCCTCCCACCTCTCATCTACATTTCTTCTTACTCTCTACGATCCATCCAACACTCTCTACCACATAAACACTCCATCACTCAAACAAGGTTGAAAAAAAAATGCCTCCCCGACGTCCACGCCGACGCCCCCGATCCTCACCGTCACCCTCATCCACCACCACCACCTCCTCCTCCTCCTCAACAACCCACTGGACAACCCTCCTCACAACACCCACCCCCCTCTCGAACCTCTCCAGCACAAAAAAACACCACATCCTCAAAAGCATCGCCACCGACATCTCCACCGCCTTCATCCGAATCGCCCACCTCCTAGAAACCTCCGTCCTAGACGCCGAACACACCGCCCCAATCGAAGACGTGATCGCGTTGATCCTGGACGTAGAAGAGCGCCATTCGAGAGACCTGGAGCGACAGGTCCGGAGGGCTGAGAGGCGCGCAGAGCGCAGAAGGAGACGGTGGATTGCGGAGAGGAAGTGGATGCGGAGGTGCTGGGTTGGGTTGTTGGGGAGGGCGATGGAGGTGAGTGGGAGGTGGAGGGAGAGGGTGAGGTATCTTGAGGAGATGAGGTCGAGGTTAAGGTCGGGGAATGGTGGTAGGGGAAGGGGGGAGTTGGTTGTTAGACGAGTTGGGTTGGGTAGGGATGGGGGTAAGAGGAATTCGATATGATATTTACATGGGGGTTGGGTTGGTTTTGTTAGAAGGGGATGGATGGCGTTTTTGTTTAGAGGATGTTGGTTGAGATAGATCTACAAAGAGGTATATTTCTTGGATATCATAGACTATGCACTGATGCAGTAACAAATTGAGCCTACATGGATATCTAGAATAGGTAATTTTTATCTGTGGTGTTGCAAACACCTATACAATGATGAATAACTGCAAAAAGTCATCGTCTGTAGAGCACTGTCAAGTCCCCTAGGATTCCAATTTCTGTAACATTATTAGCCAGCATCTCAATGTGTAAGCACTGAACCACAGTTCAACATCTTCACATGGGTGGATCAGCCACAGCCAGTCACAAAAGCGACGATATCAGCGCCCAGCGGAAGAAGTGGCGACAACCTTAAAAATCAGCCATGTGCCCGGGCCCATCTTGTGATACAACTGAGTGTCGGTTGTCCCTGATCCAGAGATGCTGGAATGTAAATATTAGCAGAGACTAAATTCTAGACCCTCATCATCGGAAGGCATTGACCAGTCTGAAACCAAATGCTGAGCAATCTGTCGGAATCGATAGTGTCAATTGCCAACGATAATCGGGAACCCAAGTTCCGAGGTTAATCTTTCACATTAGGCGGCTTTTGGTCGGGATATCCCCAGGCGGAACGAGACGAGACCGGAGACCCTGAGTGACGCAAATCTAGAATAGATGCGCCAACTCTAAGTATTTTCCGAGTCCCGAATTAGTAAACGAACTTCCATGTCGCCGACAATTTGTATGGCAGCGGTGTTGCGGAGATTCCTAGACAGAAGGGGACTGTTTTCAAATCATCTCAACGGGAACATGCAAAACCATGGATGGTTTCTTATCAAGCCCAAAGAAAATTGTCAACACGATAGCAGTAGCCGTAACGCGTGGTCAGCGCAGGAAAATGAACCTCGGCATCTGGATGTCGGCCAAATGTCCAGAAATATTGATTCGGCACCGCGGATCCACTCTTGCCTCTCTTCATGTGGAAGCAGAATGGCGACGCCTCCCGAATTGAAAGACTTCTCACTTCCTCATATCTCCCTTCCCCGGACTCTCTGTCATTCTTCTCTCATTCCCCTGACTTGTTTGCTGCCTTGACTCTCATCCGCAGTCGTGCTGAAATTTCCTGCATCTTGCCCCCTTCTCCGACCCACACTATCCGAGCCAGTTACCCCGGACGAAATATCGGCCGAGATGAGCAACCCGGGGGATTACAGCGCCGTGCGACGCGACATTGTCGCCCAACTGAAGAAGCCCGATTATGACGACGGTAGCGCTGGTCCGGTTTTCGTTCGTTTGGCATGGTAAGTTTGTCGTCTTCTTTGTTTTCTTTTTGGTTGATTTTGTCGCCGCCGATGACTTTTGTGGTCGTCCTCTTCAATCAGGAATTGCCACTAACAGACTTCCTTCCAGGCACTCCGCAGGTACCTACGACGCTGAATCAGACACCGGCGGTTCGAATGGCGCCGGCATGCGATACGAAGCCGAAGGAGGCGACCCCGCCAACGCAGGTCTCCAACACGGACGAGCCTTCCTGGAGCCGGTGAAGGAAAAGAACCCCTGGATCACATATTCGGACCTATGGACGCTAGCCGGCGTAGTGGCCGTCGAAGAGATGGGCGGTCCCAAAGTTCCCTGGAAGCCCGGTCGGACCGATCTAGTCGACGACTCGAAGGTGCCGCCACGAGGCCGGTTGCCCGACGGAGCCCAGGGCGCTGACCACCTGCGATTCATCTTCTACCGCATGGGATTCAACGACCAGGAGATCGTTGCGCTAGCCGGCGGACATAATCTGGGACGGTGTCATATGGATCGGAGCGGATTCGAGGGTCCGTGGGTGAACAACCCGACTCGGTTCTCGAATCAGTTCTTCAAGTTGCTTCTCAAGCTGGAGTGGAAGCCGCGGACGCTGTCGAACGGCGTGCAGCAGTTCAACTATGTGGATCCCGATGCCGACGAGGATGACGAGCCGTTGATGATGCTGCCGACCGATATCTCGTTGATCACGGACCCGTCGTTCCGGCAATGGGTGGAGCGATATGCGGAGGACAAGGATCTGTTCTTCGATCATTTTGCCAAGGTTTTTGCCAAGCTGGTCGAACTGGGGATTCGACGTGACGAGAAGGGCGCCATCGTCAACACGGACAACGTCAAGGGCGGATACGTGTCTGCACCGAAGAAGAGCAATACCCCCACTGGACCACCTAAGAAGCAGGATGCATGTGTGCGAGCCCGTCTATAGAGGATCGAACTAGCTTTGATGTTTGTTATTGTAGATAGAAGCAAGGTCTGGGAAAGGCCCTGCGTTGTTTGTTAGATTTAGAACCGATTTGTTTCGAATACCAAGCATAGTTTCGTTGAATCAATGAATCTTCTAATATGAAGGAAAGGACAACCCAAGGATTTCAAACATAATCGCAATGGAAAGATGAAATGAGATAGGAGATAGGAGAAAGAAAGAAAGGAGAAGAGAAGGGAGTGAGGAAAAGCCGGGGAAGAGTGAAATGCGGGGAAAACAACGGGGCCGCCCTGACTGACCTTTGCCCGCCGCGTTATTGGCCCGAGGGAGTCTGCATCGAGAGCTGTGCAGGGATGCCTTTAATTAATTCAGAAATAAGCGAGTTCATGACTAACTGAAGACGATGACCCTCGGTTAGAAAGGGAGAGATCAAATCCTCGGTCTTGTGCTGGTACATCTTGAAAATCATGCGATTGAGTCTGCATTGCACTGGAAATCGACATAAAAGCACCACTCTATAATCAGACCCAAGATATTCGAGCTATAACACACGACCAAAACTGAAACCCGACAGGTATATACTAGTGACAGTAAAAAATGTAGAAAGGGAAAATTAACTAAATAAAAGATAATTACCAACCCTCGGGTGTCCGAAGACGAGAGCTCGGCCGATGAGCGAGCGCCTGGATAGCCTGCCTTTTCTTCTTGAACCTCTGGTTCCTCTTCTTCCTCTTGTTTTTTCGATCAGGAGATCCTCGCTTTCGCTTGTTATCATTGCGATTATCATTGCGATTATCATTGCGATTATCATTGCGATTATCATTGCGATTATCATTGCGATTATCATTGCGATTATCATTGCGATTATCATTGCGATTATCATTGCGATTATCATTGCGATTATCGTTACGATTGTCGTTACGATGACCTGTCCGTCGACGCGCTTTTTGCGAAGAAGCCTGTGACGCACGGCGAACTGCATCTAACCCGACGGCGCTTCCCTGTCCTGAGTGCGAGCGTGACTTGGAATGCGACCCTGTAGGAGAAGGCGGCGGCTGCTGCTGCTGCTGCTGCTGCTGCTGTTGGAATTGCTGCTGCTGAAATTGCTGGTACGTCTGAAGCTGATTCCTGTTGCCTGCCCAGTATTGTGGAACCCCATACGTGTTGCCCTGGTTCCACTGTGGAAAATTGACGCTGCTGATGCTGGCAGCATTGCTAGTGTCGCCATTGTTTTGACTCATCATGTGGTAGACTTTCATGGCCGCGTTGTAATAATCGCTCATGTAGTTTGCACAGGTGTAATTGGCACCATACTTCTCAAACAGTTCTGCGTCGGAGGGGTGCTGCTGAGTAGATCCAGGTAGATCTGCAGTGGGGAGATCAGAAGCTGGAAGATCAGGCTGAGACACCATATTATGCATAATAGGAGCTTGGTAATCGAGGTTGCTTCCAGTCTCCCCAAGCCCGACCCTCTCAAGACCAAGTGAGTTTAAAGGAATTGATGGAATTGAACCCGTCGGCGGTGAAGCGGGATATTCCTCAATTCGCGGAGTCAAGGGAGGCGAGTATAGAACTACATCGTCCCGAGGCGAGTCCTGCATGCCCAGAGGATAGCTTTGCTCGGAAACAGGGCTCGCGAGAAAGTTGACCGGAGGCGCGAGATTGAAGAGATCGGCGCTGGGGAAAACCCACTGACCGGGCTGCTCGGAGACATCATTATTGAATAGGGCCCAGGGACCAACTTCATCGGCAAGAAGCATCTTGTTCTCTACAGCCTCTACCATTGACCCCACCGAGCTCATTACCGTGTTCAAAACCTGGGGGCTGACGTTGTCTACCCGTTCGTAGAACACCAGGGGAATGGCGCTTCTAGTCCACCACTCGTAGGGGACTCTCTCGCTCGGGTGACCGTACGAAAGGCCTCCAACAATCATTCCCAAGTTCTTGGACCCGTCGTACATGCGGACCTCGCCATGGTCAACCTCGCCGGGGCGGTTGTCGGCCCAGAAGACCCGGAATTGACCCTTGTACTCGTATATCCCACCCACCCAGCGATATGTGACTGACGTTCGCTTCGCAAAAGTTTCAACCTCGAACGTGAGATCCTGCGTGTGTTTCGTCACGGGGACATCGGGATCAACCATGGTCACCAAGCGCGCAGGGAGGCTTTCGAAGGTTCGCCAGCGGGTTATGGCGTTGGGGGTATCACAAACGTCGCAATCCACCTGCACACTGAAAGCAAATTCCTGCGCCAGACGGGTATGCATCGTGACAGGCCCTTCACCGTCCTCTGGGACTTCAGATGGCTGCATGAAGGTATTTTTCCATGGCCCCGTGGTATCCCCACGTTCACGATCGGGGTTGCACTCGCATGGACGAAATTGATCGTAGTAGGTGAAATGGAACTGAGCGAAGTTGGCCGTCGCCCTGGTCCAAATCCCCTGCAGCCAATGGATATCCCCCGCCCAGACTTCAGGCAGGCTGTCATCCACCACATGCCAGAAATTATTCCGCAGCATTTCACTCTCGTCAGTGAAACAGAGATCCCAGTCAACTTCAGTCGTTTTGATCAATGCCGCTTCTAACGGGGTTAACTGTGCGCGCCACCCTTTGTTACAGCGATCGATTACCGTAGACCCAGCATCAAGAAGTTTAGCGGCCACGATAACACAATCAATGGCACTTGTGTTGAACGTGCCCACGGGACCGCGACCTCGATAGGGGTAGTCACGCCCATCAGGATGCAGTGTCATCTCATCGGTCTCACGGTTCCATAAAAGCCTCACCTGGGCCGTCGCAGGAACCGTTTTATCAATAGTCTTCAATAGGGCTTGTGGTTCGGACGCCACCAAACACGGATGTTCAGCCCGAGTAGCCGTGTGGTGTCGCTCGAGGTCCGCATTTGCAAGTTTCATAACGATCCGTTGGACTATCTCGACGACATTCTTAGCCGGGAGCGGTCGAGCGGTATGTCTTTCAGGCTGAAGGGGTTGGCTAGTGCAGCTATGGCGACTGGATGCCGATCGTGGTGGACTTTTGGTTTTTTGGGCCACCCGAGCCTGCTCCTGCTCCTGCTCTTTTTCTTGTTCTTGTTCCCCCTTTCCCTCTTCCTCGTCTTCGGTGGCATCGAGGTCAATCGGCCCGCCAGAGACTGGGTAAGACATCCGCTCGAGATAACTATCGGATATTGACGCTGGAGCGTCACTCGGTCTCTTGAACCGCGAACTCAGAGCTTTACTATCTTCTGGCGGTTGGGGATAGTATCTGCTAATAGGAACGCGTTCAATCTGAATAGTATGTGAGAGCAACCGAGGGCCTGCATCTCTGGAAAAGTCCGCGAACTCGGCAAACGACGTGGGCAGATGGTCAGGCGCCATGTGATAGAACAACTTCCAAAGAGCTTTTAGAAGCTTCTCAATCGTTGCACGCTTGGCTAGTCCCATGTCGATTCCCCAGCTGTGGTGGTTCACTATGGTCTCCAAACGCGGTTTTGGGAATCGACGAGCACGCATGGTCACCTGCACAGCCTCTCCCAGGAACTGCCAGTCTGTTGGAGGGTCGACCAGGTCATTGAGTCGAAGTTTGGGGTACTCGAGCACAGGAGAGGGAGGTGGCGACTCATCGTCGCTGAATAGACTTGCAGGCATCTTCTGTCTCGATAGAAGGCAGAAGGGTCTCTGAAGGGGACCTTTTCCTTTCCAAGACAATAGGTGTGGACGTAGGGAGATGTCCGTTATTCTCACAGGGGGTTCAAGTTCGAGGCTCCAAACGAGCCGGGGAGTTCAGTTCAATAAATGTCCGGGATGCAGTGCCGCCGTTGACGCCTATTCCTATTGAAGGAGGCACAAATAGGGCCGGATCATGTATGGACTATTTTAGTCAATGACGTCCAATTTGTTCGAATCGGTGGATTGACCATTGAAATTTGGGCTTTTGATTTCGGGCCATCATGCTATCCTGTCTTTCTTTGAAAGTTGATTGTTTCATCTTCAGTTTTCGTCATTTTCCGTCCAGGGATCGTGATCCCGTCAAAGAGATACCAATGCAGAAGGCTCTGAAGAATTTCTTTGTCTTCACCAAATTCCACAATGGGCTGCGGGTGCGTTTGAGCTAAAAATGATCCCGAGTTCTGAAGATCAGTCAGCGTTATCTTTGAAAGAAATATTAGAATCAGAGATTCCGATCAAAGAATCATAGTTGCCCAATAGTCATCCCGCTGATGTCTACCGGCCCATGGTTAAGTACTGAGATGAGGATAGTGACGACCTGAATGCAGGCAATCATTGTCCAATCCACCTGCCGGGTCATGCTCTCCAAAGAAACCAGTTAACAAAGAGATGAGACAGAGCTAGGTCACTCAATCATGGTCAAAGAATCTAGATGGTACTAGGATTTGAGTATCTGGACGGTATTTCAAGTGGTACTCATCACCCAGCATCATCAAAGCCACTGCCTCATCTTTTATTATTCAGGCTTAGGCCAAGAATGATGTTCCTCAGGTGTTTGTCCTGATGACCATCGTGGTTATTTGAGCGACTTGGGATGGTAGGAGAAGAGTGCAGGAAGGATGAATCCTCCAGATGCAAGACAAAATGAAAATCATGTGCCACCAGGCTCAATTCACATAATCTAAAAGACTGTTAGATAGACGACTTTTTGCAAGCTGCTAGGTCCTCCAACGGTCAAATCAACTACAGCAGGTATTTTCATGCTTCATCCCCTACTGCTCCAGGTATGCTTCGGACTTGCGAATGTCGCTAGCTTTTTTGGCTACTGCATCAAGAGTTGGTAGACTGAATATAGCCACAGATTTTTCAATGAGCATGCCTGATGCACATTCCACATCGAAAAATATTTTCATCAAGAGTCGGACAGGAAGCACAAATCAAGTGCACCAACACCGCGTCGTAGAGATGAGTTTACAAACAGCTGAGTAAGCTCTCACTTACTCATCACCTGCTTTCACGTGACCCTATTCCAGACCGCCAATGGAACACAGAGGCTAGTCCCATCTAGGCCTAGCGCCGCACAAGCGAGCCCTCGAGCGCACCAAGACCCGAAACAGGCTAGTGCCATCTTTACCCGATCCCACAACGGGCGAGCAAAGTTGGAAAGCCCAGCGAGTCGATTTCACCTCCTTCTCACCCCTCTCGCTGTCGACAATCAACGCGGTCCCGTCGCGCCATCGCCCATCATGTGTACGTGCCATTCCTATGCTCCCGATCATGCGTTCTGAAGTCCATTTTGCTGCTGTTTTTGATTCGCTCTGGAGAATCTGGACAATGGGAAGGAAGATGAGTTGTTGAAGGGGGGGGGATTACATTGGGGCATAAATCGACATGAGACCCGAATTATGGATACGATTCGCACAGAAAAGAAGAAAGCAAGGAATTTTTTCAGAGCGGACAGGAACGGCATCGAAATGGATTTTTCTTTTGTCGCAGCAGCAGCGGCATCGAAAAGAAGCGATTTCAACAAATTAGCAACCCCAGATGGCTGACTTTTATTTCCGTCCTACAGCGCTCGTGTCCGGCGAGAAGACGAACTTCCAGTACATCTTGCGTCTGCTCAACACCAATGTTGACGGCAAGCAGAAGATCATGTACGCCCTGACTCAGGTCAAGGGTGTCGGTCGCCGTTACTCCAACTTGGTCTGCAAGAAGGCCGATGTTGACCTTAACAAGCGGTACGTTTGCCCATTCCCTCTACGGAGGCCACCTCAAAATCCGAACATCTCCGCCTAGGAGGCAGAAATTCCACAGCAACATCGCACATTATCGAAAAGGATAAAAAGTCCAATACAGAACACCCTCGCTAATGGATCTCCAATAACAGTGCCGGTGAGCTCACCACCGAAGAGCTCGAGCGTGTCGTCACCATCCTCCAGAACCCCACGCAGTACAAGATCCCCACCTGGTTCCTCAACAGACAGCGCGACATCACCGACGGCAAGGACTCCCAGGTTCTGTCCAACGGTCTGGACAGCAAGCTCCGTGAGGACTTGGAGCGCCTGAAGAAGATCCGCTCCCACCGTGGTCTCCGTCACTACTGGGGTCTCCGTGTGCGCGGTCAGCACACCAAGACCACCGGCCGTCGCGGACGCACCGTCGGTGTCAGCAAGAAGAAGGGCTAAACTATCTGAGAGGGTTCAACTTATTTTTTTTTCTTGCTCGCTGGAAGGGAGAGGGAAAGCGTTGGTGTGGTACTTTACGAAACGGGGACCTGTTTACATATCACGGATTTGGGTCCATTAAAAAGTCAAAAGAATCATACCAATATGAAATGAATATCAAATTCCACGTTCTGATATTTTGCGTAGTGGGTGCTGGCTTCTTTGCAGGGACTGGCCAGCCTTCGACACTTCTTCCATCTGATCCGAGTATGTCGGCACAATATACATTCGTACAGGGCCTGCTCGTAGCAGGTATCCCCGTGCATGCTGTGGGTGCCTTAGATGCATAGGGGACGACCGCGGTGATCGTTGATCAAATTAGAATTTGCCTGCCCAGCGGATGGCATACTATTATCCTGTCCCTTGTCTAGGTCGGCTGTCGCCTTCATACCTCTTAATGCCGTGTTAATCGAGACCAGCCCAAAGAATGTTGCTCAATTAAACGCAAGTTGCAATTGTACTATGTATATATTCTTGTATACGATCATGAATAGTCATACATCTGAACAAACGTGAAACCATTCAAAGCAGTCCGAAGTATGATTAGGTGTCCATGAGGATCACCATGGCAAATATCTCAAGTAAATAAGCCCTTAAAACCATTCACCACTCAACCAGCGGTTGTAGAACTCCAGGCCAGCCTCGGGTTGATCCATGGGAACCATGTGACCGGCGCCGTAGATACGCATGAAGGTAAAGTTGCCGTGGGACTTGACCTGACCGATCTTCTTGCCCTTGTGCTCGTTCTGCTCGACCTTGAGGTCCTCCAGAGCGGCAGAGGCATACTTAGCCTGTCCGGGCCACTCCAAAGCCTCGGTCCAGGCCTTGTTGCCCAGCCAGTTGCAGATGTAATCGGCATCACCGGCGTAGATCAAGACAGGAATCTGCTCCAGAAGACCAGGGACAAGGCGGTGGTAGGGCTTCATCCAGTCACCATGGAAGAGGAAGTTACGGTTGATGTCGAAGTTGCACGAATCGTACCCATTGACCTCGGCACCCACGGCCTCGCGAACCTCGGCCTTGTTCAGGTAGTCGCTGACATATCCCATGCCCTTGTAGCAGAGGTTGCTCGAGTCCTCGCACTTGCCACGAACATCATAGACGTTCTGTCCGGTGCGCTGGTAGGGACCGATCATGGCATTGTTGCAGTAGATCGAGGCGGGGACACAAACCCACGCACTCTCGGAGTCATAGCAGGACTGGATCATCTGCTGACAGCGGGGCAGCGCATTGTCCAAGGACCGGCAAGCGCTCTCGTCCAAGACAGCGGGGTAGCCACCTTCACCGCAGCCCATGGGACGGTAGTACTCGTACTGGGTAAGACCATCGGTGAGACCGTTGCCGATGAGAACAGACTTGAGGTTGATGTTGCGGTTCTTGTGAGCCAGGATCTCGGAAGCGAACACGGGGATGTAGTGACCAGCATACGACTCGCCCGCAATGTGGAAGTCCTGCTTCGCATACTCGGGGAATTGCTTAAAGAAGAGAGTAAGAAGAGCGTAGACATCCTTGCCCGCAGCAACAGTGTCGCTGACGGCAGAGCCACTGTAGGAATAGCCAACGTTGACGGGCTGGTCAAGGAAGATCACGGAAGCGTTGTTGTTCCATGAGAAATCATTGTAGACGGGCTTGATGTTCTCGCCAATGCTGCTGGGCCCAAGCTCCAGGAACAAGCCAGTGAGAGAGGAGCAGCCGGGGCCACCGTTCAGCCACAAAACGACGGGGTCGTTCGCGGGATCATTGCGTGATTCGAAGAACCCTTCAGAGAAGTTAGCAATCTAGAAACACATCGGGTCGATTTCGTGAAGAACGTACAGTAGAACAGATGCTTGTCGTTCTCATTGTCATCCAGATAACCGGTGTACTGCTTAACACCAGGGTCAATGCCGAGGGAGCTGGGGTCGGTCTTCTTGACACGGAGATCGTAAGCTTCCAGCTTTCCATCAATTTCACGCTCCTTGCCACCCTCGACAGTGTCAACCCAGATCTTCTGGACATCAGAGCCACGGACAATGTGGTCCCAATGAGAGTCAGGACGACGGTTGTGCTTCTTGGGCAGAGAGAAGACGGGGTTGTGGTCCATAGCCTCGGGAACGTAGTTGGAGACTTCGTCCCACAGCTTACGAGCCTCATCGGAGAGGGTCTCGAGCTGCTCCTGGAAGTTGTGGAGAGCACCGGCGAAGCCCTTCTCCTTCACGGCAGGTTCCTCCTGGGGCTGGCCATTCATGACCTGCTGGTTGAGGACCTGCTGGGCGGGAACGGCGGCAGTGGCCGCTCCGACCAGCAAAGTAGCTGGCAAGAGTCTCATTGTCGATGATTTGAGGTCAAATCAAGGTCAAAATGTGATGAAAAGGGTAGGGAGGGTGATGAAACGGGCAAGAACAGTAGAAGGGGACCTTGCGGTCAAGACGCCTGGGGCAGCTGCTGGCTTATCAGTACCGGTTATCAAGGGGGAGAGAGAGGCATGAAGGAAAGGGGACAGTCAACCTACAGTTGATAACAGCAGAAAGTGGAAGAAAAGTAGCCGATGAAACACCAGCGACCTTGGGAAGAGAAGAGAGAAAGGATGAAGAGGAGATGATGGAGAGAAGGAGGAATGTAGGTCGGCCTTGGGGATGGCAGGCACCGATGACGCCGATAGCCAAGGCAGCCAATCACGGCGCGGTGCCTCTCCGGGGTGACGAAGTCACGTGCTGAATGCGGTGTGCTGAGTCACGCGCGGCACGGGACCAGCGTCATTGCCGCTTTGGGCCAATCACGAGACAGGCGGGCGGTGCCTCCGAACAGGAATTCTTTGGCGTCATCAGCTGTCAAATTTTCCACCCCTCGATATTCTGGATTCCTCGGTGTCTCCCTGCCGATCCATCTCATCCTCGGGAAAGTTGCGTTTTCGTTGGAAAGCGCACCGTGCAAGATGCCTATCAATCAACCCTCGAATCAGATTAAATTCACGAATGTATCAGTCGTCAGACTAAAGAAAGGTTTGTCCAGCGTCTCACATTGCATTCTTGCCCTGTATCTTTGAGCCCATTCTCCTGCAAGACGTCTGCCTGTTGGCCCCAACTACAACACTGCGACTGCTGAATGTATTTCTGTCGGAGGAAGAATTCCTCATAACAATTTCCGCCCCGCAACCCCGCTAACCGCGCATAACCCAGGCAAAAAACGTTTCGAACTAGCCTGTTACAAGAACAAACTTCTCGAGTACCGCTCCGGCGCCGAAAAAGATCTCGACAATGTCCTGCAGGTCCCTACCATCTTCCTCTCCGTATCCAAGGCGCAGACGGCCCCCTCCGCGGAACTAGCCAAGGCCTTCGGAGCCGGCACTCCCACCGACGAGATCCTGCAAGAAATCCTCCGAAAGGGCGAAGTGCAGGTTGGAGAGCGCGAGCGGAAAGAGATTGTCGAGCGAGTGGAGAAGGAGGTCTTGGATATAGTGTCGGGACGACTGGTTGATCCGACGACTAAGCGGGTGTATACACCGGGCATGATCTCCAAGGCTTTGGATCAACTGAGTTCGGCGAGCGGGCAGCTGCAGCAGTCGCAGGGTCAGCAGCATAACGGCGATGCGAATGGCGCAGCCGGGGAGGAGTCTCGTCCTGCGCAGCCGAAGAAGCCGTTGTGGACCGGTGTTACCCCAAACAAGTCGGCGAAGAGTCAGGCGCTTGAGGCCATGAAGGCGCTGATTGCGTGGCAGCCCATCCCTGTGATGCGCGCGCGTATGAGACTGAGAGTGACTTGCCCTGTGTCGCTTTTGAAGCAGAGTGTCAAGGCTGGAGGGCCGGCTGGAGGGCCAAGCAAGGAAAAGGAGGCCCCGTCCGGTGGGTCCAAGTCGAAGAAGGGTGGTAAAGGCTCGAAGAAGTCGAAGCGACAAGATTCCGAAGATGAAGCCGGTGCGTCCGACGCGGAACCGGCAGCGGCGAAAAACCCCGGCAACGTCAAGGACAAGATCCTGAGCTACATCGAGTCCGTCGAGACGCAAGAAGTGGTCGGTGGAGACGAATGGGAGGTCGTTGGATTTGCCGAACCAGGAGCGTTCAAGGGACTGAATGAGTTCGTGGGCAATGAGACCCGCGGACGGGGACGAGTGGAGGTATTAGACATGACGGTTACTCAGGAAGAGTAAGCGCACCGAATCGAAATGTATAGAGACCGAGCAGTATACTCGGATGTTGCAATGACTGATGACTCGGATGTTGGATACCAAAAAATGCAATGAATTGGCCATATGAGCCATATATGATCGTTTCTACCTGGCAATCGTGATCTTCGCACAATCTATATATCTAATGGGCTTACGTTGAACCATCAAGAATACTCACCTTTCCGAAAACAGAATCTCCTTCATTGGATATCATCCTTGCCCGTCACCAGCAACACAACGTTCTGCCCCGGTCCCAACTCTCTCGCCAACCTCATCGCCTCTCCCACCGCATACCCGGTATTCAAACCCGCCGTGACCTGCTCCTCCTCAGCCAAAACCTTCAGTCCCTCCATCGCCTCGTCATCCGAAGCCGTCTTCCCTTCCACCCTGCCAATACTTTTCCAGTGCGCCACTTCCGGACCAACACTTGGGAAGTTCATATCCGGCGCAATCGCCTCCGACGGCTTGATCTGGCCATTCTCATCCTGCAGCACCAGCGTCCGACAGCCATGCAAAACACCCACACTGCCGTGAACCAACGGCGCCGCCTCCTCCGCCTCCACGCACACCAACCGCACGTCGTCCTCTTCCACAAACGTATAAAACAGGCCCGTCGCCGCGGCGCCCATCCCCAACGGACTGACCAGCGCATCCGGCGAAGCGCTGTCCCCTTCCCGCCCCATCAACCGCGCAAGCTGGATCTTAACCTCCTCGCCCAACAACGCCTGAAAGGTCCGGTGAATCACAGGGAAAGGGTGCGCGCCGATAGGGCCCCCCATGGCGTAGTAGATCGAGGACTGGTCGGTGAGCGAGTGCGCGAACGCCGAGTTCACAGCGGCCTTGAGCGTCCGGCACCCGGAGGCCGTCTCCGCAGGCACGATGTTTGCCCCGAGTCGCTGCATCTCCTGGACACCGGCGCACTGCCGCGCTGCGTCATCGACGCCGATGAACACGGTACATTGCAGACCCAGGGCCGCGCAGAGACTCGCGCACGCGATGCCATGGCTTGCAGATCCGCAATCCGTCACGATCTCGCGCATCCCGAGGCGCTTCGCGAACAGGACCTGCCCGACAAGACTACGCACGCAGTGGCTGCCGCGGTAGGGGTTGCGGTCCTCGCGCTTCAACCAGATCGTGGCGCCTCCGGCGCGGTGGGTGAGGTTCTTGGCCAGGTGCAGGGGCGTCGGACAGAAGTCCGTGTGGGCGAGGTAGTCCTGCCAGAAGGACTCATCGGTGATGGTGGACTGGAAGGCGGCGGCGAGGTCGTGCAGCGGCTCGACTTGGAGTTCTGGGGCGAATTGGCCGCCGAACTCGCCGAAGCGGGTGCGCGAGAGGTCGAGTGATGGTATTGGGGGTGTGGCCATGTATCCTTTTCTGGCGATTTCGGAGGTTCGCTGAATGAAGATCTGTCTGATGGACTCGGGGGTTGGCCATGATTGGGCGAGGGTCGATGGGATTGTCTCTGTGGTTTCTCTCTGGTGGAGAGGATCCTTGGACAGGATATTGGACGGTTGGAGAGGTGCAGTGAGCATGATGTCAGTTATTCACAAATGATTCAGCTAATTTGCCAAAGAATCGTTCCAAAGATGGTAGTAGTCTAGTAGTAGTATATATTTCCCTTGAGTATAATATCTTGGAAATCACAACCACAATCCCCTCCATATTTATACTTTATACCACCCACCCATCTAATCTCTCTCCCTCTCCCTTCTCAAAGTCCAACCCCCAAACCAGAAACTCCATCATCCCTCCCTTCGCCATCGCAATTTGATAACTGACCTCATGAACATTCCACACATGCGTCCTTCCCAAACAGGAAACGCATAAATCAAGCTTCACCAACCAGCTCGACGGCCAAGCTTTCCATCACCAATGAATCGTCCTTTCTACACGGATCAGCATCTGCACCCTACCTGGTTATATTAGATATTGCATCATGGATCCTTGTCGGTGGCGTTACCTACCTATTTCGAGGGTTCATGCTTCATGATTGCGTTATGATGAAGTTGGCAGAACCCTTTACTTGAGTATCTGGCTTGAACCGGTCGGGTGCGTATATCCCTGGCTATTTGTTTTGCTTTCTGAGGAATAGGACTTTGGAAATCTATATATGTCTTTATGTAGACGATGGAGTTAGTTAGTGAGTTACCTCATGCTACATGTTCATGGTCATGTTCATGTTCATATTCCGCGTGCGAATCACCGTGGCGAGGTCGGGTTCTGGATCCATGGATGTTAACATATCTATGCCTGAGGCATTAACAAGTTCACCCATTTCCATACATCAACGTGTTCTGGGATCTTGAGCAGCATGTCTTGTCTGCTCTTGTCCGTCTGATGATTTGGCATGGAAAAATGCATGTATAAGAATTCGTAGTTGATAAGTAGTGTCCGGGATGATTGTACGCTTGTGTCTACAATTATGGGAGCGATATATCTATAGTTGGACGGACACTGGGAGAAATATGTATGTATGTGGCGATCAACATTTCAAGTATGTATCGCATCATAATCTCATAATCTCAGATAGGGAAGTTGCTTCACTTTTTTCAATTCAGAGTAGAATAGGAAATTTATCCGATAAAACAACTAAGCCCTGGTATCTATTATTGGAACAATATACACCTAAAGAAAGAAGTATGCTTGTCATGTTGTCTGTGAGCAAGTTACCTCAGGCTAAGCTAATCGAAGATAAACCGCCACCAAGCCACCACCACAATTCTAATTTCGATTCTACTCTAAAAGAAAACCAGCACTTTCCTTACCAACTACTTATCATTAAAACAAGTATAACTACTCTAGATATAAGCGGTAACTAAGTTTGGCCAATAACTCATAAGATAACATATCCTACCACCAAAACCAAACCAAACCAATCCAATCCAATCCAATCCAAACGACGATCACCTACGTACTCCGTACTAACCACCTACCCAAGCACACCGTACTCAGTAACTAGTGAGCGGGGTTTCATTCACACATGACTACGACCTACCACCCCTCATCTTCATCACCGAATTCTTCTAGACTAGACTAGACTAGACTCTCGAATGTCGATCCAATCCAATCCCATCCCATCATGTGCCTACATGAATCAAGACCTAAAACCTAAAACCTATAGGCCGGGATGTTATTGTCTTGGCGTTGATCCGTTTATCTAACTACTCTGTAGATCTATCTGCGTAAGAAACTATCTACAGACGATCACCTACAGGGGGGGTCAACCTTTCATTTCAGACTTGACGGGTTGATAAATGGGACTTAGGTTGGGAATGGTGACCACGCACGGAGTACTTACACCGTAGTGGAGGGGGTGGGCTAAAAGGGCAGAGGCAGGGGAATATGGCTGGCTAGCATGCTGTACGTGATGAATGAGATAGAAAGAAAGAGGTAGGGAAAGAGGGAATGCGTTACTTGACTTGGCGCATATTATCCGTTTTCCTTCTAATATCCAACGCAGAAAGGACCAGTCAGTACAGTAAGTGCCATGCATTTCTATCGTCTAACATAAGTCAAGTCGCATAAACAGTACATCGACAAGATAAAACAGTCAGTCCATTGTCCATTCCGGTAGTCCATTTCTGTAAGATACCTAAGAACTAACAGCGAATTCCTTCACCGAATGGATCATGACAAATCAGAGAGAGCCTCTAGGCGGGTATACGCTCAATCGCAATGCAATTAAAAAGATAATAAAAAAGATCAGTCGCTTTTGAAACCTTGTTCGTTTCATGCATAAGAGCGGCCCAGACCCGGAGAGGGAGATGGTTGTCCTTCCGGTCTCTTCTCTCCTCTCCCCCCCTCACGTCTCGACCGTGTTTTGTGTGGGCCGCGACTGGTGGAGGGATTATGGGTCCAGGTCCGGTTAACGCGAAACCTCCCGAACACGACCCGGTGAACGAGGAGGGTTGTCCGCTTTGCGGATTCAGATTGAAGGGATAAAAATTGGTCGCACACAATATTGTCGAGATTGTGTGGGTTGATAGAAATGGAAAAAAAGAGGTGAAAATATGTTGTCAGGGACCCTGGCGGGAAAAAAAAAAAATCAAATCTTGCCAGAAGGTTTGCTGGTTTAACCACAGATTTGCACGGCGTTCAACGCCCGTGTCAAATCATCCGGCGAAAAAGGCATGCAGGTTCCCTTGGGAGACAGTGGTGGTGGCGAGATGGTCCGGATGGCAGGTGATGTGTAACGTATCGACTCCTTGATCTGGGCGATGGAGTCCTGGCGCAAGATTTCCGGAAGCAGCGTCATCAACGAGGCGCTGTAGCTGTCGGAATCGACGGCGGTAGACGAAGACGAGCCCGAGTCGGTGTCTCGATCATGAGCGTAATCATCTTCAAGAGTTGGCATGGCAGAATCTATCAATCGTTAGGTCGCTGTCACTCATCGATTCATCGTGATGGCGGGTCATGAACGGAGGGTCGTCATGGACGACAAGGTCCCACATACCATCAGTTACGGTCACCTCAGGAGCCGGGGAGGCAATCTGATCGGGAGCCACATCGTCGTCGTCGGGGCAGCGTGGTCGCAGATGCTCCGGGAGGGTGGTACAAGGCGACAGCGAGAGGTCGAGCGAACGGGGTCGATCGGCTTGGGCGTCCTCGAACGACCATGCGGCGAGTTTCTTTTGGTGTTCTCGATCGAACGGACCCTTGAACTTGGACCGGGGGATCTCATGGCGTTTGTAGTACTCGATCTTGATGCCATTGTCCTTGGATTTGGAGCGGCTTCCAGTGCGTTGGAACACTCTGCGGACTTTCTGACGGAGACTCATGGTGACGGATGAGGGATGAGATATCAGGAACGACGAGGTCGAGATAATTAAGGTTTAACTTCCGATTGGTGATGGAATTGGAAGAGATGGGCGAGTCAACAGCACTTCACAGCGGCAGACCTTTCCCGGCCGGGGAATGGACGCGAGGGAAGGTGTGCAAGCACGAGTGACAATCGAGTAGAGATGTCAACTGTTGGATCATCGTATGTCGGGAGGACAGACTGGAGAAGGAGATAGGAAAGTGAAGGGAAAGAAAGAAGGAAGGAAGGAAGAGTTCACGAGAAGAGACTCAGAGGGAGGCAGATAACGAGAATGGGGTTCCGATTAGCAGAATGGGGGGGATGGTGGGAAAGGATATATTCTAGTCTAAGACTGGAGAAGTCTAGTAGATGAACTAGGACAGGACCAGGTAGTCCGTGGGTGGTCCTGACACATTGGGAAGATTAGGAAAGATTAGTATGAGAATGATTTCATGCGCGAGGCGATGATTGGGCATGCAGGAAGCGCCGATGGAACCTGGCGGACACACCGTCCGAAGCAAGTTGACTTGGTGGATCCCCTCAATGCGGTAATCGCCAGGCTCAATGGCCAGGAAAAAGAGGGGCCAAACGTGGAGGATCCACAGGGGTTTGTGCGTGAATTATTCTTCTAGTATTATTATGTTGGTTGGCAATGCATACTCCGTATAGTTACATCGTACAGCCGTAGATTCTCTTGGTCTTTCTTATTTCTTATGCGCTTTTCTGCTTGCTATCCAGTCCACTTTCGAGTAAGTTCTGAGCATCTGCCATTTCAACCTGATGTAATTCCCTTGGCAAAACCCTCTGTTCTGTCTGTCCAGATGAAACCCGTCGGGTCCCGGAAGATTCCTCGAGCGTCGGTGTCTCGGTGCCGAAGCGATGACTAACCGCCTCTTGCCAGTCCACCGGTCATCGGGTTACATTGGCCTTGTCACTTGTCACTGGTTCGGCGTACAGGCACGGCGTTCGCCCACCCCGAGATACTCAGTACACCGTAGACATTCCCATGGTCGCTTTGCCCCCGGAAGGAAACTTGAAAGCCATGTCGCGATAGACTCGCCTAGCCCTAGCATCTCTGCTCCTGGTCGGTCATGGGGTTGAACTCTGATGCCTCCGAGAACCAGATGGATGGTCGGCCTGGAAGGCCTGGAGGGCAGTTCCCACGGTCCAGACGCGCCGGGCCATACTTCCCCCAAACGGTAGCATACGGCGCGGAAGTAAGGTATCATCGATATCCGCGGACTTACATGGCACAGTACAACCGGAAAGTGGCAAAAAAACTAAGAAAGCTGCAGCGAACAATTCCAGAAAAGCTGGGCCAAGGCGGTCCGATCGGCGTGCCACCGTCGAACTCAACCAGCCAAATGCCGTTTATGCTTTGTCTTAGCATCCGGGATTTTCTCTAGGATATGACGACCGACATCATCCTGTTCTTCCGTCTCGACGGAGGATATCTGTTTGTGAAATGGATGCACTCCGTCACGTCATGCTGACAGAGGGGCGTTGGACGAGAGGACGAGAGACGGAGACAGAGTGCAGAGTGCAACTGCAGCGACTCACTCACTGCCACTGCGAGCCCACTTATGCCGTCATTGCATTAATCATGGAAATTACACATGATAAGAGCGTGGACAAATCAAAGAGTGTGTGGCTTCCGGACGACCCGCCAATCGATCCGCTCGGCACGCTGTTTCCGGTAGCCTGCCTGAGGTGTCTTTTGCTTAGTCCAGGAAAACTGCCTCAGGCATTCACTGTGTACACTGAGTTGGTTGCTCTGCGTCTTGCTGGTATGTCGTATATCAGAATACTCCCTAAACATACGGAGTAGCGACTGTCGAGGACAGTCCACGTAAGGAGACGGTTGCAGTTGCAGTCCAGGATGAGGCGGTGTTGGCATTCTAGAAAGCTCGGCTTCTTCAACATTCCTCCATCGGGCAGGACGGGCGGCATCCCATGTTTGCGTTGACGGAATGCCTCGCTGGGATGGTCGGTCGGACTGCAAGGGGTCTGCTACGCCTAAACTAACTGCCTCGTAACCCAGTCTTGCCCCTCGCTGCCCGATCCTTGCCCCCGTGGCCACCATGCCAGGGATGCAAAGTTAATTCTACGGACTTTGATTGTGTACGAAAGACTGAAGACACGTTAATTCAACGCCGACCGGGAGAGATCTGTCTCTTGATGCAATACTCCGTTAGACTACGGTGGATGGAGTATCACCGGAGTAGGCAGCATATGTGGGACAGCGTGTCCTGTTTCAGGCTTGGCTGTCCAGCGTGACTGCTGGTGACTGTTGGTTACGGTGTACCCCGGAATACCCCGGAGTATGATGCAATGGAGCCCCTTAGTTGCTGCAGTTGGGGCCAATCCTGGGCTACAATGACTGGTCCGCTCTAAGTAATTAGTAGTACGGAGAATCCGAGGGACCAAGTCTGCCTTACCAGCAATAATAGCTCGGTGCCATATAGACTGGGATGGCATGGATGATGTCCGCGACACATCGGAATCCGGAGTAATCCCCCCGATCCGGAGATGTCTCGGACTAAGGATGATCCCTGTTCTAGGGCTAGCAGCCCACATGACGCTAGCCTGATTCAGGTGTCAACTGGTGCCTTAGTGCGACGGCGCTGCTGCAGGCACACGACCAGATCGCCGGAAACAGACAGACCATCTGCTTTCAACAGACCAGTTCTATCATTATAATCTCCCCATTGTTCAAGGTGGCATGGAGATGGCCTCATCTTGCTGGCTTATCATTGTCAATCATCCCAGCTGATCAGAAGAGGGGATAGGAGCAATTGTAATGTAATATAATCCCTCCACGTAGACGTTGCGACAATCGCAATCTCCTTCACCCTTTTTTGGGACTCTTCTAGCAATTGCAAGGCGCCCCATTGATCCTGCCAATTTATGAACACATAATTCACAATTCTACTGCGTACTTCAGTGCTGCTCCCGTCCATTGATCATTACTCGCGTGACTGCATGTGATTGCACTGCTGCTTTCAACGTTCCTTGCAATCGCACCGAGATCTTGTCTTCGTGCATAACTAAACCCACTTGCTCTCTAACGGTCGCGACTTATCCCTTCTCGAACTACGGAGTAGCAAACACTTGTCGCATACTTGTTCACTACCCAATACATATTCCCCCTCATTCTAGGAGGTAAGCAAGAAGGAATTGTTTCACGCCCTGGCACTTGTCATCCTTTTCCCTACGGTGGTTCCCCTGCCGTCCCTCTTGGTCTGCCGCGGATTAACGTTCCCCGAATTCGATTAGGCATTCGGAAAGAACCAACATACCAAATCGGCCGCCCCTAACCTCCCTACCTTTCCCTACTTACTTCCCTATCATCGTTCCCTCGACTCCCTTCCCCCATTCTTGGATCGAAGTCGTCCCTCCCCTCCTGCTCTCTTGATCCTTCTTCAAGCGCAATCGTCCCGTCCGTAAGTGCTGCCCGTTCTCTTCTGACCTGTCGAGATCGTTGTGCGCACAAAAACTGTTGTCGTCATCACTCATCTCTACGTGGCCAGACCTTTTCTAACGCTCTCTTCGCGCAGTCCGTTCCAATCATCCACCATGCCTAAGAAAGGAGGAAAGGCTAAGAACAAGGGCAAGGGCAAAGGCAGCAGTGGTGCTGCTGCCGCTGTCGGCAAGAAGGTCTCTGATGTTCAGAACACTCTGTGAGTCGCACAAATGAGCGCGCATGTTTTTTGTTGTGGTGCTGGCTCTGCTAGCGAGCAATTGAGTTTGGGCCCCGTTGCGCTAACGGTTTTTCTTTTCTTCTGCCATTTAGAAACCCCGGCCAAGAGGTCGAGGAAACGGCCCAGAAGAGTGAGGGAGAGGCGGAGGGTCTTGCGACTGAGGCTGGTGATGTGCCCACCACTGCCCTTCCCGACACGGCCGCGAACGTCCCCTCGGCTGCCCCGCAGACGGAAGAAAGCTCCAACACGGTCGAGGAGGCCGTCAAGGATGCTAAGACTGATTCTGCTCTGGGAAGTGAAGCGGATGTGACCAGTGAGTCTTACCTGGCAATGTTTGTTTTTTGTCCTATTCGCTGACTTGGCTTTTCACCCAAACCAGCTGCGTTGCCCGAGACCACTCCTGCCGCAACTTCTTCTCTTCCTGAACGGCCCAAGGAAAGCACCATCTCCGAACCGCCGACTACCGCAGCTACCGATGCTGCTGAAACTCATGTCAAGCGTCCCCACGAGAGCACCCCGGCCGCGATGGAAGAGGACCACAAGCCTCCCAAGATCCCCAGGACCGAGGACGAGGCCCCGGCCGTGAAGCCTTCCGAGTCGATTGTTCCTGGTACCACCAAGGCTGAAGTGCCTAGCGAGAAGATCGGTGACGTGCAGCCTCAGATTGTTCCTGGACTGGGCGCGGACCCCCGGGATAACGTGTCGTCGGTGCTGGCTGTCCCCGGTCTCTCTTCTGTCGATGACAAGGATGCCCCAGCCGCGTCCTCGACTGCTGCGCCTACCAAGGCTACCGAGCCCCTGACTACGGAGAAGGCTGCATCAACTGCCGCTCCCGTTTCCGACAGCAAGGTTGACACCGCCAAGGAGGTTGCGACCAGTGAAGCCCCCAAGACGCAGCAAGAACCCGTCGCCAGCACCAAGCCCTCGGAACCGGCCACCGTCCCCGAAACTGTCGCTCCTACCAGCACCGATGCCGCGGCAGCAGCTACTGTCGACACCGCTGCCAAGGATACTGAAATTCCCGCAGCCTCGGTCACCGCCAAGGAGACGGAAACTGCTACGCCTGCCGCCGCGTCCACTATCCAGGACAAGGCTCCCGTCGCCGAGGCGGCCGACAAGAAAGAGGCTGTCGCGCAGCCCGCCACGCAGCCCGCCGCTGCCGTCCAGAAGGAGACTTCTGACCTGAAGGAGTCGACGGGTGCCACTCAGGACAAGACTGCTACCGAGCCCAAGTCTCCTGCCGTTGCCGCTGCTGCTGCTGCTACTGCCGCGGCTAAGAAGCCCGAGGAGAAGAAGCCTGAGGAGACGAAGAAGCCCGAAGAGGCCAAGAAGGCAGAGGAGACTAAGAAACCCGCGGAGACCCAGAAGCCCGAAGAAATCAAGAAGCCCGAGGAGGCCAAACTCCGGGATTCTCAACCCGTTGAGGAGGCTCAGAAGGACGGTGCCGCCGGCGAGTCCAAGACGCAGGAAGGCAAGCATCTTGCGGACAAGGCCAAGGAGACGGCCAAGTCGGAAGCCGACAAGGCCCAGGAAGCCGCCAAGAACGAGGCCGCGAAGGCCGATAAGCGCAAGAGTGGCTTCTTTGGCTGGCTCAAGCGCAAGGTCAAGGGAGAGAAGGCCTAAATGTTATTTGATTCTTAATGTCCGATTTCATTGGTCTGACGGACTTGATACAGACTGAGAAACAAGCCCTTAATTGCTGATACCCACATGGCGGTTGGATGGAACCAAAACTGATTCAAAAAACCCCGAGAAAAAAAAGTTGAAAACCAAAGGAAAAACACGAGCAGGAATGACCGAAGTGAACAAACTGTATGAGATCGGTTGTGTATGATATGCGACGAGCGATACCAAAAGCGACGGAAGGATATTGGGTAATATGGGATGATCGGCTTTCTGTTTCTGCGAGGTGTAAACCCTTGTTCAGCCCTTTTGTGATTTCAATTCCAATTTCATGTTCTTCAATTGCCAGGATTGTACGGAGTACTGTGTAGACTGTAGACTGTAGAGTCGTTGAAGAGTCTGTCTGTTTACTGTCGTGTACACTGAGTATTCACCGCCATTTCCTTGATGTCGGCCGATTAAGTAAGACCGCAACTCTTCTTCCGCTCTTCCCAGCCATCAGTCTTCTCTCGCCGGCATCGCACTCTAGCTCTCTACTCCGTTCTAGTCTCTACACCGGAGTAGTTTCTCGTCTCGACCTTGATCGAACGATGAGATCATGGCCTTCGTCACCGGCGATCTGTCCCCTCTCTCCACTCGGACGCCCCACGAGGCATTTGTTCTCGCCTGCCGTGGCTGAAACCGATATCCACTCGCTCCATCCGAGCCATCCAGCCAGGCCAAGCTTTCTCCAAGCTTTCCCCTGCCTGTGGCCCTGATGCTGGCCCGGCGATTCGCTTCCCAATTTTAGGAAACCCCCTCATCCCTCCTTCCTCGTATCAGCAGTCGAGATGGGCAAATCCGCGTCGCTTGCGAGGGGCCCATGCTGTTGCTGCTGACACCACGTTTCCAGGCTACCAGGATGATGACTGGCTCGGTTGACCGATGGACGGACAGAAATGCAATGCGTTCAGCGTTCATTCGACGGTCGTCGGGCCAGTGAGTGCCCCTCACAAGCGTTCCCCTCTTCTTCCCGGATTGCCTGAGCTCAGGTCTCCCGGTCTTGTTTGCGCATCATACGGCCCGCTCAGGAGACTAAAGAGCGCGGGTGCCCCTGTCTGCGTTGCTTGCTTCTCTGCTTGTTAGATTTATTTTCTCTTCCTAGGGTTTACTTTGTCAATTGGACTTTGTTTTTTTACTTCTACTTCATATTTGTTTTCATACCTTTTTCTCTACTCTCTAAACACAATGGTTCATCTTGCTCGGGTTCGTCGGGATAACACCGATCTCGATCCCACGATCAAGCGGGTTAACTCCATTAAGTTGGATACAACCGAGGACGATGATTTTTACTCCAGCGTTTATGGTACGCGGTTTGCCGTCGAGCAGCTGCCTCAGAATGAGATGCCGGAGGGTGAGATGCCTCGAGAGGTCGCCTACCGGATGATCAAGGACGAGCTGAGCTTGGATGGCAACCCGATGCTGAAGTAGGTGTTCAGTTCTGTATCGTTGGTGATGGGCATTAACGAAATCGCTTTCAATTAGCTTGGCGAGTTTCGTCACGACGTACATGGTATGGCTCCCTTTGTCGCTCAGACTATCGATAGCATGCTGACCTCACGTTCTCTATAGGAAGACGAAGTCGAAAAACTCATGACCGAGTCCTTCAGCAAGAACTTCATCGACTACGAAGAGTACCCGCAATCGGCGGAAATCCAGAACCGCTGCGTCAACATGATTGCTCGTCTCTTCAATGCCCCCGTCGAAGGGGAGGACGATCATCCTATGGGTACCTCGACGATCGGATCCTCCGAAGCTATCATGCTCGGTACTCTCGCCATGAAGCGTCGGTGGCAGAACAAGCGCAAGGCCGAAGGCAAGGACTACTCCAAGCCCAACCTGGTCATGAACAGTGCCGTGCAAGTGTGTTGGGAAAAGGCCGCCCGCTACTTCGATATTGAAGAGCGCTACGTATACTGCACGGAAGACCGCTACGTCATCGACCCCCAGCAGGCCGTTGATCTCGTCGACGAGAACACCATCGGTATCTGCGCCATCCTGGGAACCACCTACACGGGAGAATACGAAGACGTGAAGGCCATCAACGACCTGCTCATCGAGCGGAACATCGACTGCCCCATCCACGTCGACGCCGCCAGCGGCGGATTCGTGGCTCCGTTCATCCACCCGTCCCTGAAATGGGACTTCCGTCTGGAGAAGGTGGTCTCCATCAACGTCTCCGGCCATAAGTACGGTCTCGTCTACCCCGGTGTCGGATGGATCGTCTGGCGTTCTCCGGAATACCTGCCCAAGGACCTTATTTTCAACATTAACTACCTCGGTGCCGAGCAGGCTAGTTTCACCCTGAACTTCTCCAAGGGCGCCTCCCAGGTCATCGGCCAGTACTACCAGATGATTCGTCTCGGAAAGCGTGGCTACCGGTCCATCATGGTCAACATCACCCGCATCGCGGACTACCTGGCCGAGGAACTGGAGAAGCTCGGGTTCACAATCCTGAGTCAGCGTCGTGGCCGCGGACTGCCTCTGGTGGCGTTCCGACTGCCCGCCGACCGACAGGAACACTTCGACGAGTTCGCCATCGCGCACCAGCTGCGGGAGCGTGGATGGATCGTGCCGGCGTACACGATGGCGCCCAACAGCAACTCGCTGAAGTTGATGCGCGTGGTGGTTCGCGAGGATTTCACTAAGAGCCGATGCGACACGCTGCTGTCGGACATGAAGCTGGCGTTGAAGACGCTGAGCGATATGGACAAGGCGATGTTGGAGAAGTACACGCAGTAAGTTTTCACGGATGGGATCTATTTAGGATGGACTTGCAAGCTGACCGACGATAGACACGTTCGCACGCATGCGACCAACTCGCACAAGGCTAAGCATAACCATCCGCATTACCAGGGAGAGGAGCATTCTTTGCAGGGCAAGACTGGCAAGACTCACGGCGTGTGTTGATCTCTGGCAGTAATTCGGAGGGAATAGGCAGGCAAAGAGCAAGAGCTTTATGAATAACATGACAGAATAACAAGACATAACTGTGGATCACAACGAGGCTGTAGCCTGTAAGCTCTCCATAAAGTACTAATTCTTAGGATGTATACTTGTCTCCATCTACGCGGCTGTGTTTATCGAGATGCTTGGCGCCTCGAGGCAGTTGAAAGGGATTCCCTGCATATCCACTTGTAGAGAACATCATCCTTTCCATCTCAATCAAAGAGATCCAGACTCTAGACGAAGAAGCGTGAGAATCCTTCTGAACAGCCCCCAAACGCGGCCAATCACCAACGTGACGTCCCGCTTTCCCACTTCTTCTTCCTCTTCTTCTTCTTCCTCTTCTCTTCTTCTCTTTCGTAACTTCACTCTTCGACTTCTTTCTTTCTTTCTGATCTTCCTCCCCCCTTACTCTCTTTTTTGTTTACCCTTTTCTATATATATCTCCATGCCACTCTTCCGCAAGAAACCCAAGTCTCCCCCCACCAACTCACCCGCATTCCGATCTGTCGAGCATCTTCCCCAACTGACCGACCGCCGCGGTTCTTCCGTCTCCACCGCCATTCCTGCTGCTGTCGCTGCTCATCCTCATCCTCATCCACCTTCTCATCCTCAGCCTCAGCCTCCTCCTGTCCCGGCTCCTCCTCCTCCCTACCATCATCCCGCTCACTCGCCCTCCCAGTCGTCGCTGCATCGCTCGCAGAGTCAACGCCATTCCCGCAGCGACCCCGCCGTTGGCATTCCTGCCTCGCCCTCCGCGCCGCAGCAGCGCTTCGAGGTGGACCCGTCCGACGACGACCACGACGAACCCGAACATCACTCGCGACGCACCATTCGGAACATTTTCTCCCTGCACTCCTCCAACACTCCGAGGGATTCCACCGGTCCTCTCGAGCGCCACCGTTCCTTAAGGAGATCGTCGCCCGCCGCCGCTCGTCGAAACCGTCCTCTGTCCGTGGACACGACCAGCCCGGACAACCGCCCTCCATTGACCTCCCGCTCGCGAGAGTATGTGGTAGAGTCCCTCCGCACCACGCCTCAGTCTCCTATGCCGCCGCAGGATTTTATCCCTTCGTCTCAGAACAATTCCCGGCTGCCGCGTTCACCGCATATTCCTTCCATTCAACGTTCCAACACCGACTCCTCCTTGGTGGTCGAGCCCCTCCCCCCTCCGACCACCATACACCAGCCGTCGCCTATCGATCCGTCCAGAAAGCCCCCGCCCGAGCTGATCCCCGGCCCGCCCCAGCATCAGCAGCCGCAGCCGTCTCTGGACCCGTCCAGCGCTCGTCCGTCGTCGCGACAGTCTCTCGGACCCCCTTCCCCTCTACGTCCGCTCCCAAATCACCCGCCAGACGCTCCGCAACAGGGCATGTCGGAACGTCCGTCCACGGGACCTGCACCGGCTCCCCCTGCCAGTTCTGCCTTTGGGCAGTGCTCCTCCGACACAGGTCTCCGCAATAACACTGCCGCCCATGGGTCGTCGGAACCGGGTCGCAGCACCCCGACCTCGAACCACAGTCGAAGCCGCGACGAGGCTGATCTTGATATGCGAACCTTGGTGCAGAAACATGACGAGCTCCGTACGTTTTCTGTTGGCTCCCGCTCCGTCTCCTTTGGACCCGCGCAACTGACCCGAATCTCTCTTTTCGCTTTCTTGCAGAGGCCAAGTATTCCAAAGTGAAACGGTACTACTTCGAAAAAGAAGCCCAGGTGCAACACCTCCAGAACACGGTCGCCCACCAGCGCATGGCGGTGTCGCGCACCGTTCTCGACGACAACGAGTATGCCAACCGGTTTGGCCGCCTCGACGGAGCTATCAAGGACCTAGCGTTCGCGGTCCGGAAGGATTGGAAGTCTCTGCCCGGCTGGCTGAGCGGATTCGTCAACGAGGATGCCGCCGCCGTCGGCACCAAGGAGATGACCGCCATTGGTCGCGCCTTCATGAGCCGCTGGTTGGCCGATGAAGTATTCGGGCGGTATTTCCATCCGGTGCTGGATCCGTCGTTCAGCCGTCAGTTGAAGGAAATTGAGCTCAACCTGCGCCGGCAGCAGGGCAAAACCGCCACGGAGGAGGATAAAGAGAATGCCATTGCTCGCATCTCCAACTGGCGCCGCACTACCTTGGACGGGCTCGAGGACGCGCTGATCGGCCCGACCGCCGACGAACACCGCGTCCAGCTTATTGACCATCTGGTGAAAGGCCTGTTCAAGGCGCTCACCGATCACCTGCAGAGTCCCCCGCCGCCGGGTATCGAGAACGGCGCTCGCATGATCGTGGAAAACGCGATCGGGATTGCGGAGAAAATTCCTCTCGAGTCGCGCGATCTCTGCGTGGACTACCTCCTTCCGGGCACCGTCTTGCACGAACCTACGATGAAGGTCGAGACCGGTATTCCTCCTTTGACCAATGCCGCCCCGCCTGAATCTACAGCCACCCGCGGTTCCGACGATCAGGACCGTCCGGCGGACCATCCTGGTGCCGAGGACCTCGACGTCGACCGCGACTCTTCGTCGGGCTCAACCAACCCCGAGGGCGCCACGCCGGGACGTGAGCAGCGCGTCCGCTCCGTGTTCAGCAGCCTGATGGGGCGCAAACCACAGCAGCAGCAACAGCAACAAGGCGGTGGTCCACCGATCGCCCCGGGCCCTGGCGGCAACGGGGACTCGGCGGTCCGTCCGACGACCGCCGGTGCCGACGACCGTGCGGGTGGTGGCGTGGTCCCTCAAGTCCCTCAGCCTCGTATTCGCCTTTCGACCTTCATCACAGCCGACGTGAGGGGACGGGGACCGGTCAATGTGCTCGTCAAGGCGCCTGTATATTTGATGGAATGACCTACCTACTGACCTTCTTCCTGATCTGGTAGGTCTGACACGTGTAGATGTTTCGAACTGAATTGAAGTGATTTTCTTTGCGTTTATACAGCTGTCTGTCTGTCGATTAGGATTAGCGTGTATCGATTGATTGGTTGATTGATTTGTTGATTCATGGATGAGTTGGTTAGTTGGTTGATTGATTGTAGCGTGATATCCTGCTGCGTTGCTTTCTTTCCTTTCTTTTTGCTTTCCTCTGGCATACAAACCCTTGGAAAATACAGTCTAACTGGCTACATACATAGCTACACTACATAGTCTAGTTACTATATCAAGATGAGAAGAGCGGGTACTGTACATACGTACCTGTTTTTCTTGCCAGCTCGAAGGCTTTCCCTTTCCGTTTTAATGCTCACCCCTCGCCGTTTTTTGTTTACTGAATAGATCTAAGCATATCCTGAACACGTCTTGAACAATCTGAGGTGATTATTGAGCACGAAATAAATAAAAGACTGAGTGTTTTGAGTGAGTAATCTCAATAAATTACATCTCAATTAACGGTTTTTTTTTTGTTTGTTGTTTCATTTCGAGTTCACTTTTGTCCGTTATATTTTTTAAAAAATTTAGCATTATTATTATAAAAATGATAAATCAAAAAAGCTATTTTTTTTGATATTTATAATCTTTTTTTCACAAAAAATTATTGTATTATCGCATTGCATCAACATGATCAACGTTGTTTTAGATTTTTTTTGTCAAAAAATAGCACAAATCTAGATGTTCATGAAAGCGGTTCTAAATATTTCAGAAATCAAGAAATTTTTAAAATATCAATTAACGTTAATTTATTATAAATATATTTTGAATTTTGATTTTGAATATTTACTAATAAAATGGCATACAAATGTTTTTTTATCAAAATATATAATATTAATTAAAAAAATAAGATTCGAAATTGAGAATGTAATATTAATTATTTGTAATTGTTTTGATTTGAAAAGCTTGTTAACTATAATATAAAATTATAATAAATTTATTTTAATCAAATTAAATTTTTTATATAAAAATTTATTCTTTCTTGTTTAAACAATTTGTAAACATTGTTGACATAATAATCGATATATAATATATATGTTAATAAATATTATAAAATATTCGCACGGATATCATTAAATGATATCATAGTCTACGCATGATAATATAAAAGAATTATAGATTTTAAAAAATCCAAATTGATTCTTGAGATTTTCATTGATCTTCAAAATCTCAAAATCTTTAAATAAAATTTATTGATTGATTTGTAAAATAAATTTCTAAAATAAAAAGATAATAAATATATTAAGATTATTTAAATTTACAAAAGATGTTTTAATTTAGCAGTCTTGATTAATTTTTTTTTAATGAAAAGTTTTTAATTATTTTCAATTTTTTCATAAATGGTTTGTCAAAAAAGAAATTTTTTGAAATATATCAAAAAATAATTTGCAATTTAATATATTTTATTTGATTATCATTTTTAATATTAATTATAAATCTTTGTTTCAAAACAAGTCTTTGATGTTTGTTGTATAAAATAAATGTAATTAAAATAAATATAATAAATTTTCATTTTGTTGATTTTGTTCATTTTTACATAATTCATAAATAATATAAAAGATTATTTGATGTATTTATGACTTCAAGTTAAAAATTATGTTTTAAATTAAAGAAATTATTTTAATAAAAATTTATGATTTTTTGTGTTATTTTAATTTCAATTAATTGATAATTTGCCTAAATTAATATATTGATGTGTTGTGTTTAACAATAATATTTAGATATTTATTATCATTATATAAATTTTTTTGATTTTACATATATTGTTTTATCAAAATAAACTTTGAATCTCAATGAGATCAATCAAGATATTGATGTTTTTATATATTTTTTAATTATTTTTTTATTTGATAATTGCAGAATTTTATATTAAATTGTATAATTTTGTTAATGATTTGTTAATAAAAGCTATTACATTTTTTTTGATTAATATTTGTCCCTAATTACGTTTGTAATATAATTATAATGAGTTTACAAATGAGACAGATAACATTTATATATATATTGTTTTATTTTTGTTAAATATTTCGCAAAAATTGACAATGCTGAATTTAAGAATTATAATTATGAATACATTGTTGATGTCATTTTTATTAATCAAATGTTTTATTATTTTTTTTCAAATTTAATTGCAATCAATTATAATGAAAATGATATTGATAGCTTTCAATTAATATTATAGATTTGATAAAAAAGATTTGTAGATTTGATGCTTTATATACAGTTTTTTAATAAATGTTAAAAAGTTTTAATAAAAACATTAAATGAGATTTTGGTTTTGTAAATAAAACAAAAAAAACAATATTATCGATTGTATTAAATTTTGAATGATGAAAACAATTTTAAACGAATTGAAAAGATATAATATGCAGTATATGTATTTATTATTGATTGATTGTGTTAATTAAATGTATAATTGAAACATAAAAACAAAATTTTATGTTTTTTGTGTTTCAACATTAGACGATTCAATTCGGTAATAAAATGAGATAATAAATTAAATAAAAATTTTAGATTGAATTGGATTCGAATTGAAATTATTTTGATTTTAAAATTTGAAAAATGTAATTCTATTTCTTTTTATTCTTTTGCAATTGACAGATTTTTTATAACAAATTGGTTACATTATGATATATTCTTCTTTTTGTTTTTTCTCATCAATTACTTAGATCTCATTATATATATAAAACCAATGAATACATTTTATATTTTAAAAAAAAGATTTTGTTTATTTGTGTTTTTGATATTTCATAACTAATTGCATTATTTATTAACATTATTTTTTAATTAATGTCATTCGTTATTTCTGTAATAAACATTATAAACTATGAAAACCGATTTGCGGAAATTATTATAATAATATTGTTTTTCTGTAAATGCTAATAAATATAAAGAATTCACGCGGATTTATTAAAATAATATTTTGCATATTAAACGGAAAATAAAAATAACAATAATTTAAATAAATGATATTATTTTAATATATTTTTAATATTCATTGTGAGAAAAATGCAATTACAGAATTGTTTTTTATCATGCATATTGACAATTTTTTATGAAGAAAGAATTGCATTGTTTATATGTTAAATTGAAATAAATAAATTCTATAAAAAGTTTATATTAAAAAATAAAGAATAAGATTCACAAAAAAAAAAACAAATAAAATATAGATTATATCTATTATGATATTATGTTCGTAAAAATTATGAACTTTTGTCAGATTGATAACACAACGATGAAAATGTCTTGTATATAAAAATGAAAACATTTAATTAATTACACATTGTAATAAATGTGTATATCTGAATGTTTTTGACATTATAATATATAAAAAACAATTTATTATATTATAGATGTTGGCCGATATAATACAATTTCAAGTGCAATCTTTCAAACTATTTCAATACATTACATTATAGGGTCATATATTTCGTGTATTAAAGAAATTTATATGAATTTGTATGTTACAGATTAAAGAATTTTACATAATAATTGATCTAGCGGATTAGGCAATAGAAATGATAGAATGTGTTATTTTCAAAGAAATTTTGAATACAAAATTATTTGATTGTTTATTTACGTTCTATCGTGATTTAATATTAATTAGATCATTTGAATTTTATTTGATCGTTTAATATTTGATTATCATTTTTGTTTACATTCAATTTTGTGTATTCAGATTTTTGCATTTCACAAGATTTATTTAATGTTGCGGACAAAATCCATATTGTGATATAGAATATGTTGTTTTATTAACAGAACAAAATTGTATTAAATAAATTGAGATTTACAATAGAAATTGTTTAGTTATTTATATTGTATTATTTCCTTTTTAATATTCAAACATCCTTGATTTCATTGATAAAATCATATATGTAAATATCATTTGTTTGATTGGGCATGTTTACTTAGATTTTTAAAAAGAATTATTATTTGCACGATATTTTATTGGATCTTATAAATGATTGGTCTTCTTTATTAGCGTGATGATTGAATATGGCAATAAGATATTAAAATAAAATCAGTATAGATTATCGAAAAGAAAGAATGTTTATTTGATATTTTATTCAAGACTGTGAAAAAATATCTGGATATATTTTATTCATTTAATATTTAATATCCGTAGTGTCATAGATAGATATGAAACAGATATGATGCTCGATCTATTAGTTTATAATTTTTTTATATTTATGATGAGATGGAATCAAAAGTTTTTTTTTTGTATATGCATTGTTTTTATATATAGTGTTGAATGTCAATTTTCAGTTTTTATATATGTTCAAATGTTTAAGTCTCAATAATACGTTGATATTTACATTTAATTTTAAATCCTGGCTAAACTGAAACCGCAGTTTGTTTTGATTATTTTTTGATAACAAAATAACTCAATCATTGTAGTTAACATTTAAGGATTTTTTTTATTTTTATCAACTTTTTTTTCAAATATATTGTTGACATATTTTGCTTTAATATATTTTTGTTCAAAATATTTCTTATTGTAATTCTGACTCGCAAAAATTTATCAAATAATTCACTTTGATTCATCGATCTATTCTAATCTTCCAAAATAAACAAACCCATTATAATCCGCTTGCAGGGGCTTCTTGTTTTCAATTAACTATTAAGACTGTCTCATAATGAAACTAACAAAACACTTTATCGATTCTATATCATTCTGTAAATCAAGTCTTAGTACTAACATCTGAAGCCAGGGTTTTAGACAAAAACCAAAAACTACACAATATAAAGCAATAATAGTTTTGTGTGAACGTTAAAAAATATACATACAAAAAATTGAAAAATTTGAAAATATGCGTGATCAATATTTGTTTTAGTGTTTAGATTTAAATTATATTTATGTCAAATTTGAAAATATTTTTGTTGCAAATATTTTAATATCTTGTCTAAGTAATCAATGTTGACAA